TTTTTTTTTTTTTTTTTTAGAAATGCTTGTATTTACTCTAAGAGGTGTGAAATGATTCCTGAGAAAGTGGGGAAAATGAATAGCACTAGTACAGTTTCCCAAAGGGGAATGCAGTAGTATTTTACAGAGAGTGGGCTATAAGATTCTCTAGAAATTCCCCAGTCTTGGGTAACCCGGATGCAGAAGGATTTTTGGCAGTATTACAGTCTTTTCAGTCTCTCAATTCTTTGATTCTTTTACCACAAGATCATGCTTTAAAAGTGTCCGCAGGGACTTTATTACCAATTTTTTAATTTGTTTTTTGTGCCCCACATACTAATGGAAATATTTCATAGCTACAGTATTGATTACAGAATGTTGGTTGTACTATCCTTTTAGTTTACCAGGGGAAATAAATGAACAAAAAATTGCTGACCTCTTCCTCCCATTTCAGATACTGGTGTTGTTTCGAAATCCTAAAGATACAGCTGCATCATTTTTCCATTTTCACAACAACGTCCCATCCATCCCCAGTTATAGCTCTTGGGATGAGTTCTTCTCAGAGTTCATGAATGGAAAAGGTATAATTACTGTCTCTGAGTGTATCTGAAAAAGATAAGCAGAATAACAAATATTTGAAAACAACTGAATGAGGACAGTGGGAAAACAGCTGTGTAATGGTGAGATTCACTGGGGATAATTCCCCAGGATAAGATGCAACTGAATTCCAGAGTGTGATGCATGTTCTAAGGTAACTTTGCTTCTGAGCATCAAGTTATTTTAGGAGTCAAGCACTTGAATGATAGCTTAACCAGATTTTGTTCAAAATCTCTGCCTCCTGCAGATGCAAGAGATGATCAGAGTCAGCAGTACTAACAAAGGGATTTCAGTTTTGGCTACTGAGGCCAACAAAAATCCCGGTACTAAATACCCCCTCCTTAAATATGGGCTCAATTGGATCTGGATTCAGATTTGGATTTGACTGCTCAGAGCCATCTTTAGTAACTGTATGTATAGCACTGGAAGCTAAAACAGTGATACAGAGTAATGAAGTCCATGCTTCTAGACAAAGCCATTGCTTTCAACAAGAAATCTTTGCTTCTCCATATGTACAGAATATACAGCAACTGTTTGATTCTTGTCTACATGGGCATAACTTGTGGGCAGCAGAAATTGGTTCTTAGTGGGACATGAGACACTAAATGTGCAATAGATTAATTCTACTCTGCATTAGTGCATCATGGCAAAAGCTATGCTATTGCGCTAATGTGCAGTAGAATTAGTCTACTGCACATTAGCATCACTTAAAAGGCATGTGCCTGCGCTACTACACAGTAGCGCTGATTACTGCTCATTTAGTTAGTACCTCTTATTACAAGTACTAAACTTATGCACAGTAACCATGGCGCATTAATGCACGTTTAGACGTGCCCAGTGAGAGAGAAATAAAAACTTAATTCTAAAAATGTTCAGGGTGAAGCTTTTCTGTCTGCTTTGCAGTCAGCTGGGGATCCTATTTTGACCATGCAGTTGCCTGGAATAAACACATTGAGGATGAAAATGTTCAGATTTTGATATATGAAGACATGAAAGAGGTAAAGGCATTGATACTTACAGGCAAGTATCTGATTCCCCCTCCCACTAAAGTTGATGGCAAAACTCAGAGTGATTTCTGTGGCAATATGATTATCTCATCGCAAAAAGCTAAATGTGGATGCAGGTTTTTAGAGCTGAACATCAAGGTCTCATAGCAAATATACTACTTGGGACCCTTATCGATAAGTCAAGGTCATATACCTCTCAAGCACAGAACACTTTTTTTTAGAGGAAGCATTTTATATTTCTCTATAATGTGTATCATTTCACTAAATTGCTTTCAGAACCTGGCTTCAGCAGTAAAGCAAATTGCTGACTTCTTTGGATTCTCTCCGAAGGCAGAGCAAATTCAGTCTATTGCAGACAGGGCCAGCTACCAAGCAATGAGGGATAAATCCCAGGAGACACATGGCTCAGTTGGCCCAATTCTCTTCCGGAAAGGTAAAAATCCCAAACAAAATACCCCCTAGGTACAGGATTGTCAGTGGTGGCTACGCTTCATTTAACTATGACAGGAACTTGAAGCAGTGGTTGATCAGTCCCTTCTGATTACCTTATTTTCTAGCAATGAAGCACAGTGAAATCATGCTGTTTGGTCCTGGCTGGAATCAGTTCCCACGAAAATCAAGGAAAGGTTCTTACTGATTGCTGTAGAAGCTGGAGAAGGTTCTAAAACTCAATTTATGCCATATTTCCATAGAGTTTTCTTCTTAAGTTTCGTAGGCAGCTAGTGTGATTAAATGTGAACCCAAATAAAAATTTCAATCCAAAAACTATAGCCGTGGTTCCAAGTTTTTTGAACCAAAGGATCACTTTCATTTCTCAGCATTTCTTCTGGAGGACCATGCATCCTTACTATCAAACTGTTAAAAATTAAGTAATGGGTCAGGGGATGCTGTTATTTGTAGACGAACCAGGTATCACCTTTCATAGCCTCAGACCACAGTAAGGGAAAAACTTCTCAATCGGTTGACTTCTGTCATTGTCCAGCCAGAGTCCCAGATTCAAAAGCCCTTCAATTTGAGGTGTCCAGAATCTATATTCATTTTTTTGCAGCTTAAAGACAGCCCTTGATTATAATATGATTGGTCCTTGCAATTGTGAGTTATGTTTATGAACTTTTAGGGCCTGATCTCCCAGTGCCATTCATCTGGTATGTTTTTTACACCAGTGCAAAAACAGGTGCAAAAGCAACCACATTGGAACTGCACTATGTTATATACTCTTTAGATTCACTTTGCAGTAGCGAAAATTATTGTGCCCATTCTGAGGCAGGTATATATATATACTTTTTCTCCCTAGTCAGTTGCACAGTTCATGAACATAAATGTGTGTTGTCTTCAAATATGGTAATAAAGGAGATTGGGGAATTCTTCTTTCTTATAAATACTATATTTACTCAAATACAAGATTAGGTCCCCCCCCAATAAGTACAGGGGGAAAGGACTCCTTATCTTATATTCACATACAAGGAAACCACATTAAATGCATTGCTTATCTTTGAACTACTGTTAAAGGAAGCATGTATTTGATAATGGAAATTAATGATGAAGCTGATTAAATGCAGCCAACACTGAGCATGACTATAATGTACATGGCCCATAGTGGGCAAACATGTTAACGGGAACCTACCACAAAGATAAGTTAGTGCAATCCACCTGGAAAAGATATATGATAGTGCCTATTGAGTGTAGTCCCCGTGAGTGCTGACTTTCCAAATCATAGTGAGCCACTATATTGCATACATTTTGACTTCCTCTTCACTCCCACAGCTGAGCTGTGCCTTTCTTTCCCATTTCTGATGATTCCAGTTTCTACATCAGCCTTAAATATCTGGCAAACATTACCAAACAGGGCCCCAAACAGTTTACTCAGGATCTCTTGGTGGTCTCCTCTCTCAGCCTGTCACACCTGATTAGTCTGGCCCCCACCCTCCATGAGGTGAAGCAGGACTGGATTGCTCCCCTGCATCCTATGCATGTACATTTTTGCAGGATCCAAGGACTTGTGACAAGAACGGCTGGTTCCAGTCATGAGTGGGGGCTAAATAGCACATGGCTTCTTTGTGGGGTGTATCTGGGGTGTAGTGAACAGTGCTGAGCTGTGGGGTCGCTATGGTATGAGATGCTGTTGACTCTGCTGGGGCCCAACCCAATTAACTATAGGTAAATCATGAGCCTTTTGGCTTTGGACTAGTATCATGCATAATTTGTACTATATGTAAGTATGTACTAATGTGCTGCTTGAAAGTGTGTTGATGGAGAACCTGTGCTAAAGCTTGCAGCAGTTTCAGAAAAGGTAAAATGCATCAATTCTGGATCAGCTAAGTCTATGGGTACTATATGCAAATTACTACAGCTGTGTTTATTTCATGCTCAGTTTTTTCAACTGTGCAAATATGCTCCTCACTTCCATGTGCTCAGGGAGAGACCTGACAAGAAGAAAGGGTAGGAGCTGAAGTGGGAAGAAGTAGGGAGGTTGCAAAGGGACTACCTGATCCACCAGATTTATTCTCCTAGCTATAGCAGTAGGAGGGGGACAAATTCAAAGCAAGTCTACCTAGATGCTATACCTGGAAAATTCTATCAAATTTACACATTTTCCATATATAGAAGCTAATTATTGAGGGACCTTCTTATAATCAGTCATCTTGTGTATAAATAAATAAATACAGTAAGTCTCTCAGTCACTGTAGGGATAGATTATCCTTTACTTGCTTTTTTTTTCAATTCCAGGAACCATTGGTGATTGGAAGAACCTTTTTACTGAAGCTCAGAACCAGCAAATGGATGCCAAATTTAAAGAGTCTTTAGATGGAACGAAGTTGGGAGCAATGCTGAAGTATGATGTACACTGCAAAGCCTGAAATGGGTTACAGAAAAGTTTTGCTTCTGTGTCAGCTTTTCATTCACTTCTATTCTAACTGGAATTGTTTAAATCAGGACAAATAGCCCTGTAATTTTCACCTTGATCATTCAGCCTATATTCACATGAATAATCCTTGTTTAGGCAGGTGGTGCCAATAGGATTTCCTGGATATATAAGGGTTGTAGGGCCTGACCTTGGTCCTTAAACTCATTTTAGCTACAATGCCAGGCTATTTAGTAGAACTCTGTGTAAACTACAGTATGTAAGTGCTAGATTATTTGGATATGATGAAATTATTGGAAATCCATTCAACATGTTAGAGTGATTTTTTTGCAAGAGATCTTACACAGCAACCTCTATGAATGTTCTTTTGCTTTCTACTTTGTAAACTCTTAATATTTCAGTATAAAAAGTGAAGCTTTGGTTTGTTTGGTGTTATGTTTTCCTGTTTTCCAAATGATGATGTTATGCCATGAAAAAGCAGGGGAATTGAGTGGTAGGAAAAACTCTTGAATACTTTAAATTCCTTCCTTCTCCAACACATATTTGTCTCTCAGTAAAATGAGGGCTATTCTGAGGGGTGTGGAACACCCACAAACCCAAGGAAATCAGTGTGAGTTGAGAATGCTCAACACCGACTTGCAGTGTCTGTCTCATAATTAAAACTTATTCACAACAAAGTTACAGAGACAGGAACCTAAAGAGGTGCGGGCTGTCTAAGTTCACCACTACAGTTCCAAGACCCACTGGTTTGGAAGTGGTGCTCAATCAATATCATCTCAGTGGAGAACTGTGTGGGATGAGGAGAAGAGTGTAGTGCCCCCACACTACACTCCAGAACAGTTGCTGAGGACCCCTTGATGCCACTCAGGTTTCTCTGGGTGGGGAATAGATTGCATGCTACTGTCACTCCAAGTGGGGTATGGAGTCACTGGGGATAGGGACAGAAATTACACATAAACCAGTATAAGTTATTGGAAACCAGTTCAAATCTGTAACACAACAGAAGTTCAGTGCACATAAACCACTTTCTAAATGGCTGAAACCTGTTTAAGATGAATCTGGATGGACGTAGTATCAGACTTGACTGATTTAGGTTAAATTGGTTTATTGACCTTATGTTCCAGACCCCCTCCAGACTCAAGTTAACACACAGTCCCCAAGCATCCCAGGAGGCTTTGCACCTCCCCTGCAACACCCTCCCCTCCTCCCTACCCGGCAGGCTGGGCAGGCTAACCTTGGCCCAAGCTGTCTGCTCCAGCCCAGCAGGTAGGTATGTTCTAGCGCCACCTGGCTTCTGGCCTGGGCCGCTGCAGGCATATGTCTGCAGGCATATGTCCTCAGTGCAGGCACACGACCACTGCAGGCATATGTCTGCAGTGGACATTAATCAATGTCTGTTCACTTGCTTATCAGTTTAGTCTATGGAGCTTAGACTAACCCATAAAGATTGAATTGATTAGCTTATACTTAGCCTGGGTGTGTAACAGGGTCCCCTGTTACAAAGAAGGAAGGGAAAAAGAGGAAGGGCCTTTTAAGAGGGACAGCACAGACTAGGAGTCCTGTCTTCACAGGGGTATAAGGGAATGGCCACAGCAGTAAAGGGCAGGAGTTCTCTAGTAGTGGACCTCTTGTAGGAGAAAGATGGACCCAGGATGTAGATACCATGAGTAGGCTTGGGGAAAGGCCAGAGTAGAGAGGAACCAGACTAACACCAGGTGTGGAGCTGGTGGGGTGGTGGTGGTGAGTGGGGAGCAGTGATAATGATGTGATTGCATCCCCTCTTGCATTGTGCGGCACAGTAAGCTCTTCCCTCCCTGTCCCCCAGCCACTGGGGTATTCTTGGGGGACCAGCCAGGAGCAGGCTACCTGAAGGAGGGGACCCGTCTGTTGCTGCTGCTGCTGCTGTCCACAGGTGACTCAGGGACACATCTGCCTGACTCAGCTGCAGCAGACCAGGAGTGTCCTGCAGGTTCCCCCAGCTCTTGGGTCAGCTGTGGATAGCAGCAGTGGTAGGTGGGTACCCCCTTCCTGCATTTGCTCTCAGCCTGGCCTCCCTGGCTTCCCTACTGTCCCAGGGTCTCCAACCAGGCCTCACCTCCATCCCTCCATGGTCTGAGCTATGGCAGTGATTGCATCTGGTTCAGTCCACTTTTCTTAATCCTACATCCACATATGACTAAGACCAAGCAGGCCAGAAGGAAGGCTGGGTTACTGATTAGAAAGACCAAAAGAAGTCTAAGGAAAGGCTGGTGCTGTGAAGCACCCATAGAGACTGAGTAGGTATAAGAGACTCCCAAGAGGAATGATAATAATCTCCAAGGACATTGTAACATTGCTGTTAAGAGGCTGTACATAAGGAGACCCAGAGGAGGCTCCATCATGAGAGATGCTGCGCCCCTGCAAGGAAGGCCTTCTCTCCTGGTGACTTGCTCATTCAGTTAACAACAAAGTGTAGCAGATGAGTCAGAAGGGGGAGCTCTAAGACAGAGAGAGACCTGGTTTGTGCAGGGACCAGCATGACTGCACCTCATTTGATAAAGAAGACATCAGTGCTTAGTCCTGTGATTCTTTAATAGTGGATGGTGGATTCTATAATGTACCTTTGGCTCTCGACTGACTTAATGCAGTCCTACATCCTAGTTTGCCAGGGCAGCAGAAACCCATGCAAAAACTTGACTTTGTCTCTCTTGATTTCTAGCCAAGCACTGCTAAATACCATTCAAAGCGACCTTCCATAGTTTAAGACTGAAGACCCTGGATTTGCTAGCAGAACATGCTCACTCTCTAGCCCAGCAGGTTGGAAGGTCTGAGCTGTCAAAGCTGATGAGCTGATGCTCTCTATCCAACTCCTTGAAAGAGGTTGTCATAAAGGCTAGGGACAGAAGTTACACATAAACCAGTTTAAATGATCAGAAATTGGTTTAAACCTGTAACAGAGTAGAAGTTCAGTGCACATAAACTAGTTTCAAAATGGCTAAAACTGGTTTACGATAAACCTGGTTGAATGTAGTATCCGATTTAACTGATATAAGTCAAACCGGTTTATGAAACTTCTGTCCCAGACCTATGAGCTTGTCTCGCCTTGACTTTTGGAAAACTTCAGTGAACTCAATAGGAGCAATATTTCCTAATTCTTCAGGCAGATTGTTGTATCTTGGTCACTTTGTGGCACTGGTCCCTCCAGGGAATTGGTGCAGCCACCTGGTCATCGACCTGCAGGAAGAAAGCTGTTTTGAACTGATAAATAAATATTGCTGTTACTTTACCCCTGCAAAGGCGAGGGCTGGATTGTGGTTGCCTAATGCACAGCAGTAGCACATGTGATTCCAGAGCAAAGTGAAAGTCTGTCTTATGTTGAATTCTGCCTTATGGCGTGACTACTTTCTAAAACATTCTCACTGGTGGCATGGTTTTGCTTTGACTTGATGAAAAGGCTGATGTCAGCAGGTCAGCATGACTAAGAAGTGTCTTATGTTTTGCATTTAGACTGCACTCTTGCCTTTTTCAAGCCCTCTGCTGTTTGTTTTCACCATCAGAAAAGATCCTTAAAGTAGGGGATGTTTTGTTAATGCTTTTGTCTATCTTAGCCAGAGCTGGCTGTCACATCTCCACTTTTTGAATCTGGAACAAAATAAATGTGGCAGTTGATATAAACATGAGGAAGGTCGGTCTCTAGTCTCTTTTACAAGTGTGGGTTGAAAGTGCTACTGGTGACATGTGTCACCTTTCCTCCTGCTTACAGTCAGTCAGAGAGAAGTGGCATTGTGAAGGTGGTGATGCGTCTGTCTGTCTCCATTACTTTTTCTCACATTTTGCAGTTTCAGGTGCAGTTCTTGGTGACATAAATGTATAGGTGGAAGAGACAAGGAGGAAAAGTATGATGGAAGGAGAAAAGGTGGCAGAAAAAGAAAAAAAAGGAGAAAAACAGGAAAATGTGAAAGGTGCAGACAAAAAATATGCATCCTGCCAGAAAAACACCTCTTGCTAGTCACTAGGCTTTGTCCAAAAGTCTATATTTGATCTAATATTTCTGGAACTTGGCGTGAGCTAAAGAGATTCAGAATAATTTCTAACTACCTGGCATTGTTCCTAGAGAAAGAATACATGTCAGCAGACTTGAAGTGCTAGCTCCCCTTGCTGATCTGTCCATTGCTCCTGTGAGAGCTCAGCATGGGCAAAAGCTCAGAAGGAGATCTCTGTGAAGGGAAGAAGCCTGCTAGGATGTGGCACTCGCCCCATGCTCTTGCTGCCCTGCTTCTGCCCTTTGTTTCTTCTCCTATTCAATTTTTTCTGCACTATCTGCCAGTTTCTGTCAGAAAAGTAATAACTGTCTGAGTGCTGGTGAATGTCTAGCAGAAAGTGTGTTTATTTCCACTGATCTGTGAAAGGAATGGACTTGGGCTATAAGCCCCCTGACCACACAAGTGATGCGAGGCTTTAATACAAGTACACTGTGTTCAGTTTATGCCAAATGATGGGAGATGTTCCTTGTTGGCAATTCAAAAATGACCAAAGGATACAAGAGACTCCCAAGAGTTTGAGGTGAGGGAGGCTCCTCTGTAAGACACTTCAGCATCAGTTAGAAAGCATTTTCTGTTTTCTTATTGATTCTCTCTAAGACCTTGTTTTTTTTTTCCCTTGGACTAATGTTTCATAGTTTCATAGTTTCTAGGGTCAGAGGGGACCTGAGCAGATCATCGAGTCCAACCCCCTGCCATGGCAGAAAAGAGTACTGGGGTCAGACAACCCCAGCAAGGTGTTCATCTAACCTCATCTTAAAGACCCCCAGGGTAGGAGCCAGCACCACTTCGCTTGGAAGTCAGTTCCAGATCCTAGCCGCCCTGACCGTGAAGTAGCGCCTCCTGATATCTAGCCTAAATCTCCCCTCTGCCAGCTTGTGACCGTTATTCCTGGTCACTCCTGGCAGTGCTCGGGGGAACAGGGACTCCCCCAATGCCTGCTGGTCCCCTCTGACTAGTTTGTAACAGGCCACTAGATCCCCTCTTAGCCTTCTCTTGCGGAGGCTGAACAGGTTCAGGTCCCTTAGCCTCTCCTCGTAGGGCCTGCCCTGCTGCCCCCTGATCATGTGAGTGGCCCTCCTCTGGACCCTCTCCATGCTGTCCGCATCCCTCTTGAAGTGCAGCGCCCAGAACTGGACGCAGTACTCCAACTGCGGCCTGACCAGTGCCGCATAGAGGGGGAGGATCACTTCCTTGGACCTGCTTGAGCTGGACCTGCTTGATCTGTGGATGCATGACAAGGTGCGGTTGGCAGTCAGCAAGTTCCTCCTAGTCTCCAATCTAAATTTTCACTGCTGCAGCTTGAGGCCACTGCTCCTAGTCTGGTCCCTTACAGCCACAGAGAAAACCCCATCTCCATCTTCTCTGTAATCACCCTTCAGGTATTTGAAGACTGTTATCAAATCTCCCTTCAGTCTTCTCTTCTCCAGACCTTTCCAAACTGTCTGCATCCTTCTTGAAGTGCGAGATCCAAAACTGGACAC